TATGTCCTATGATGTGTTTTTTACTATGATAAGAGTTTGTGTGTGTCACCATGAATTCGGACTTTCTATGACTGTGCTATTCAGCTATGACATAAAAGTAACCATCTACATTCAAGTTGAATTTACAGCCTTTGGTTGGAAGAACAGTATTAAAGGGAACATATTACACCTATTTTGAAAAGCCTATTAAGTGTCAAATGAAATGTGGCAGTCCTTATCACCCTTTTAGGGTTCTCATGCTCTAGCAGGAAAGTTCTAGCAGTGTCAAATACAATGGTAATCCAGAATTTCCCTTTCATTGCTGAGATGGGCTAACATGTATTTATGGATTGAGCTTGCCTACAAGGAGATCTGGCCTTATGTTAAAAATAGATACATTTAGAACCAGAGGCTGGGAGCAAAGAAGATTCGAGCCAACTCAGGTACTGTGCCCTTTACCTTTATGGCTTTCTGAATGTGGTCTGACTGTCTGAAACTTACAGACTAAGAGCAGTATACAACCAAGAGTCATTTGTTTTATGTAAACATAACTGCCCAGATCCAACTCCCAATTGAGTTGGTATCAATGGAATCTCTAGCTAGAGAAGAGGAAGCTAAATTTTTTCTAAATCCTTCCCTTCTAAAAGAAAAACATATGCTCGTAATACTCTATCAAAAGAAGAAGGAGATAGAGGAAAAAGGGAAGCAAGATTAATCTTGAGTTGGTAATTCTTGAAACTGAGTTAAAGATACATGGGGGTACATTATACAATTCTTACTGCTCTAATTTTGTCTATGCTAAAAATAACTTTCCACAAATCTGCCACCAAATAGAACTATGCAGATGCAGACTCAACAGGATGGAGCAGTTATTGGGACCCTTTGCAAATGGACTTGCCTGCCTGTCGACACTTTAGGTACTGTACAGTTGGTCAACTAAAATGCTAACCAAGGTGTAAAGCACCTGGCCTGCAATTTTCTACCTCTGTGCCTTTGCCCATTATATTTTCCTTTGCTTGAATTATCCCTTCCCTCACATGCCAGATGGAGCTATAAAAGTCTTAACTCCTATAAAGCCTAGGGCAAAGGTATCCTCCTTTTGATCTTCAATGGCTGCATAAAGAAATAATCTCATCCTGCTTTTTATACCAGAACTTTGCTCATACTCTTGGGACACCACTCACTAAGTAGTAACATTCACAATCATAAGAAGAATAACTGCAGTTAATCTGGACTGACTATGTTAATCTGGCTTGCTATGTGCCAAGTGCTTTAAATATGTCATCATTTTCAATCCTTACAAAATCTTCTAAAGTTACTGCCTTTTCTTATCACATATTTTACAGAAGAAGATCGGAAGCTCGGAGAGGAGAGATCCAATAGGTCAACTATAAATCCAATGTGTTCTCAGATCAGATAGATCATGAAAATTTTGAAGACTTTTTATGGTTCTCAGTTATGAAGTCTAAGTTGGGCAAACTTTTGACCTTTTCACCTGAGAGCTCACCACAGGATTACTACCATTCTGCATACACTTGCTCTTTCTACTAAATTATAAGCTCCTCAAGAAAGTGAGTATCTCTTTTTCTATCTCATGTCTCCATCTGCATTGTTTAATACAGCCTTATGTATAGAAGTTGCCTGGGAAAGTGTTATTAACTGAATACCTCATTAATACAGACATTCCCACAGCTGAAGGAGTATAGCAAGTCTTCTAATTCCACCTGCCCGCCTCCACAAAGAAGTGAGGTCGAAAATGGCCCGCAGAACAGCCAAAGCTCTCTCCTCCCCATCATCTCCGTTTACAAGGCCACAAAACAAAAATAGTTTTCATCTTCTCCTTATACTGGCATTGTAAGTGACCAGAAAGAATTCTTTTCTGTGCTATTTTTATTTAGTCTCCCAGCTGCGGGCTCCCTCCCACTCTCTCTGCAAAACACTTACCCTTATCAGCCCCAGGAAAAGCCATAGGGATTTGGGGCAATGACTTGGGAATCTGAAACTGAGAGCAAACTGATTTTCTCTTCTTTTATTTCTTTCAGGATTTCCTAGTCCTGGTTTCTCTTGAGCTGAACAATATTACACTAGATGCTGGTATTCTGTGCTTCTAGTCTGGCCTTCCTCCCCAACACAGGTATTTTCTAGATGGGGTCTAAGAAAATGTGGGAAGTAGGCTCAGTGGTGTTTATTTTCTTCTCCCAAACCTCTCAACATCCCTCTTCTTTTAGCCGTAGGTCTTTTCCCTCCAAGGACCCATCTTATGCCCTATTTCTATAAGGACTTACCCTTACCAAACTTTCAAGAATTGAAAATGAACTGGCTGATGAAAAGACGTGAACTCAAAATGGGCTTAAGGACCTCCTTTCTCTCTAGCTCCTAATCCAATCCCACTTACTATGAACAATTTGTTGAGGGAAATAACAATAAAATAACAATAAAAAGATTAACAATGGAGTTAGCACAATTTCTAACTAAGGAGTCTTGGCCATCAAGCTAGATATCTTGTCATCTGTGTTGTAGATTAAGTATGAAGGCAAATATTACAGTTTGGGATAGCTTACAAGAAATCTACAGTTGCATGACAGATTTTCCTATCAGTCAAGGCTTTCTTTGTGGGTACTTTCTGATTGTACACGTACTTGTGCATTCCAGGCATTGATTTTACTTTGCTTTTCTTTAGGTTACTTAATATTCCTGCCTCTTCCAAGGAGCAGAGGGAGAGGAAGGCAGAGACATCCAAGAGTTAATAATAAAGTTGAGATAATGTCTTGACTACCTGGCCAGGGCACTCTCTGTCAATGCCTGAGGCCATATCTGGAGACATGTGGTTATGTGCTCCAGATCAGCTGGGATCCCAGAAGAACTCTGTACCCTCAATGCTTTCTCCTTCTTTCCCAACTGGCAGCTGTTCTGCCTACAGTGAGCTGTGCTAAAAGATGGCAGAACCACCCTTGAGCTAAAAAGGCACTTTGGAGTAGAGTTTGCAATCTTCTCTGACAGATTCTCTCAAAATCTGCTCTAAGCTACACTAAGAAAACTCCAAGGACTTCCTACTTCTCTCTTCAGAATGAACAAATCTTTTTTTTTTTTTCTCACACGGAAGCATATAACTTCTCAAGGCTTCATAAAAGCCAAATGCCATCACATCTCCTGTAGCTGAAAAAAAAAAAACTTAAATTTCTCCTTGGAGAAATAAGCATACTTGTGTTTTGTCTTTACTCTTCTTTTTCTTTTATCACAGGAAAATATGCTGAACAAAATAAAAGCACTTTAACAGTAACTAGGAGGATGAAGATTGTACCAAATCTGTCTAAAATACTGCCAACACGATGTTCTGTGTAAGCACAGCAATGATAAAACATCTATTTCCTCTAAAAATAAGTGGAAATGATGTTCACATATATTTTTTTACTTCCTTCAGTATAAATTGACCATAACTGGGATTCAAAAGATAGAAATAAATAAATTGAAAATAGAAAAAAAAACAATTGAAAATAGAAAAATTAATAGAAAAAATTAAATATGGCACATCAGGCTCAACAATTTCTCTTTAACAATGGAAGCTACCCCCCCCCCCCCCCGCCAAAGCATTCTGATTCTCAAAACATAGCATAAATGGCTCTCTGACCTAGCCACAATTATGGAGAGAAAGATTAAAACTGAAATGAAAAGGGTTTCTCCAAAACAGGCAACACTAATGGGCAGTTGAAGAGCCCCTAAAATAAAATACCAGGTGAGTTAGCTTTTGACTCAAAAGATGGCATGTATTATAAGCAGTGAAACTGCTGGTGGATTGGTGGGTCTAGGAACTGCTCTTACAAGAAAGTAGCCCTATTGTACCTATGGAGACTGTGGCCAGGAATAGAAGGCTCTTGCTGTCAACATGTAGCTTCTGTGGCTAGAAAGGGTAAGACCTGTATTTTTCTCTCTTCTGCTGCTCTTTGGACCCTTTGTTTCTAATGAACAGTTGGTATTAGAACTGAATCCAAAGGCTATTACACATGGGACTTCCTAGTGCAGAGGCCTGGCAGAGCTAAACTGAATCTGGCCAAAAAACTGAACAGAAATTAAACTACCTCAAAATACAACAACTGAGCATCCTCATTCTCTTCCCCTGTTTTCATTTAGTTGTAGCAAATGTTTTGCTTTAAATGCAATTGAAAAGGAAAAGAACATTTAGGGACAACATAGCTAGATTCCTCACAAAGCTTTGCTTTTCAAAAGCAGCGCTTGAAGCTCTAAATAAATGACAATTCATTTTCTGTTTACTTTAGGTAAACAGAAAATGCATTGCGGAGCACTCATTTTCAAAAGCTAATCAAGAACATTAGGTCCCAACAGATTCATTTAATAGAAATATAATAGGCATTCCTACTCGCTTTTCATCTTGTCTCGCTGTAAATGCTAAAATGAACAGCAAATTAACCCTGCGTTGGAACCGAGTTTGTGTCACAGCTGATGCCCTCTTTCTCACGATTCGTAAACAGCCCCCCATTCTGTCACTGCTTTGACTCCTTATGCAGAGGAGAGACGACCAGGCTTGGCAAGGGACTCGAGCAATACTTGAACTCTAAAGGGAGTACTGTGTGTCAAGTCTGCTATCTTTTCTAGCAGAACAAAATATTACAACAGTTGTCTCCTACAATAGTGCACAATTAGGATGTAGGAGGAGGGGTGGGGTGAGGTTTTTGTTATTTGTTTGTTTTCCCAAAGCTACATATATCAAGTGTCTTTATATTTTTAACTTTACTAGCCATTCTCCAAGGGGCTTCTTATAAACTACTATACAAAACAAGCTGATAAATACAGGGCCATTCAAGCTCTATCATCAGAAAAGATTTGCAAACAGTTTGAGACCTTATAATTAATAGTCAGTGATATCAAAATTAGCACTTAGAACTCTATACAGGAAAAAACTATAATATTTCATAAATTATGTTATCACGAACAAACCCTTTCAAAAACTGTTTTCACTGTGCTAAAGTAACATTCTAGACTTGTTGTAAGTATATTATTCTTACAAGTAGTTCGCAGTTATTCTTGAAGGCAAGCCTTGGAGTTTCCTTAGCATAGTGCTGCTGGGGAAAATTTTCAGCATGTCCATCTTCATCTCTAGCCTGAAGGGAAATATAATGGCCTATTTAGGGACTTACAAATAATGGAAGAAGAAAAAAAAAAGCTAAAAGCATAACAGCTCAGACCATTAAACAAACGGGAATCCAGAAATAACAACATCATTAAGAAGTTTGTTTAAATACGCAGTACGCCTTTTAGATATCAAAATTTGGGATTTTTTTTCTTTACGTTGTTTAGTCTTAACGTGCAAATTCACTTGTGGGGTAACATTTAAAATAGCATAAAGCAAATCCAAATCAACTAATTTTGTTGGAAATTACCACCACTTTACTCTTCCAGTGCACAACACACTGTTCATTGCACATTTAAGATATATGACATACATACGTGTTTAAACTTTTTTGGCATGCTTAAGCAATCTCTAGATAATGCACTTTTAAGAAATTCTAATAGCAAGGCCATAAGAAAAGCAATTTGCATCATTATATCTTGCATTGTAATATTATTAGAGATAAACTGATTCCTCTCAATTTTTAAACAAAGATCTGAAAGGAGCGATGATCTAGTAAGAACAATGATTCTTCAATCAAATGCAGTAAAAACTAGATTTAATTAAGAAGCTGCATTAAAGTTACTGGTTATTTTGATCTACACTGTTAATTAAGAAAGCTGAAGTTTAAATGGAGACATTAACAGAACCCATTAGCAATACCACTGGCATACAGTCTTCTCTTTCTAATCTCCATCCATTTCTGGTTTGGAGTTGGCATGCAGGCAGGGGTAGGTAGAAGGGGGCGTGTCTGCAGCACACTCATTAGACCATTCATTAGAGTGACACTTGCACTCTGGCTCTGCTCGCATCTCTTCTTAGTCCTAACTGCTCTCTCTCTCTCTCTCTCTTTCCTGGCCTCCTGAAATTCACAGCTGAGCTGTCTCCCTCACATATGGCTTGCATATAATTATGCATATTCCATTTTGCACTGCATTAAAATGATGAGCTCCTGGCTCCCTGCCAGCTGATTTTTAAAAGCCCCAGTGAAGTTGGAAAAAGGAGAGAAACACAGGGAGAGCCGCACAGGAAGCAGCAGGTAGTTCTGTCTGCTGTCTCTTTAGATAAAATGTATGTCTGGCACCAAGGGAACAGCTGAGAACTACCTGTTGTGATGTATGGGCTGAGGGCGCGAAAGACAATGCGCATAGTCGGTGGCATACGGATGACAATGCTTATGGGTTGTTTTCCTTCTGCCCTGCTGAGTGGCACTCAGATGTCCCCAGCCACCCATGGAATGTCATTTTAGGGAGGCATAGATGTTTTGCACACATGAGAATGAATCGCTTATTTTTAATAAAAACCTCTGCTACTTATTGCAGGGAGGAAGCTGGATGGAATTTGGTTGTGGAATGTCATAGGCAGTAATAGTTGAATTTGTGGGGGGAAAGAGATCATCCTGCCTTCATTTCAGTTTTGAGATTTTTGAACATCTCTGGGACTTGGTGCCTTTTTATTGTACCCTTTTCCCTTATCAAATCAGAGTAAACTAAAAATGACATTACAGGACTGGCAATGTGTGACGGGGGGGAAAAGTGAGTGTTGTGCATGTCCAGTGGCTGTCAAGATGACTGAAACCAGCAATGGTTTTTCTCAGTGCTCCAGAACTACTCTTTAGTTACTTTTTTTTTTTTTTGTCAGTCGTGGGGCTTGAACTCTGGGCTTAGGTGCTGTCCTTGTACTCTTCAGCTCAAAGCGAGCGCTCTACCACTTGAGCCACAGTGCCACTTCTGGTTTTCTAGTGATTTATTGGAGATAAGATTCTCAGGGACTTTCCTGCCTGGGCTGGCTTTGAACCTCAATCCTCAGATCTCAGCCTCCTGAGTAGCTAGGATTACAGGTGTGCGCCACTGGCACCCGGCTTCTGCAGTTACTTTTGAGTGCAGGACCGCATAGTTCGAAGAAGACCCATTTTAAACCCTAGCTGATGGAGGGATCAGTGGAGTGTTGAAACAAAAGGAGATTTTAAGAAAGCTGTAAGCTACATGTAAATGGAGTGTACAATATTAGATTCTTCTTAACAAAAACTTCAAGCCACTGTGAGAAGTCTAGGTCTCTTAAAGGAAGGGATTCTATCTATTTCCTCATTCAAATTCTACCACGTCCATCCTGTGATTTACTTTTAGCTGACACTTTACGAACATTTAAGTGAAGGGGGAAAAAAATGTCAGGATAGTACGTAGATCCTGCCATAAACAATTCTGTAGAAAAATGCCACCTCAAAATATGTTAAATTCCATTTATGTTTTTGGTTGGTCATGGGCTTGAACTCTGGGCATGGACACTGTCCTTCAGCTCTTCAGCTCAAGGCAAGTGCTCTACCACTTGAGCCACAGTGCCACTTCCAGTTTTCTGGTGGTTAATTGAGATAAGTCTCATGGACTTTCCTGCTCGGGCTGGCTTTGAACCATGATTATCAGATCTCAGCCACCTTAGTAGCTAGGATTACATGCGTGAGCCACCCGTGCCCAGAAAATATGTTAAATTCTGTGGTAGGTTTATTATATTCCTGATGAACCATGATACATATGCTTGTAAGACTGATTTGCATATAGTTTACAAGGGCTACTATTTACATATGTATGCCTATATTCAATATATATATGTGTATCTTGTGTATAAATATTCATAAGGTAGAATATGTTTATTATGCATGTTCTATGTATACACATTCATACACACCAGATGCCTAAGGCTATTTTCAACATTAGTTGCAAAAATACATTTATTCTGCTTACATGTTAAGGTGCTCACAATGCTTTTCATGCATTTAAAGCACAAAAATATCCCATTATCTAAGATTTGAATATGCTTTATAAGTTTCATATAAAGCCTCATAATTTCTGAGGTTATATTAAGCAGCAGTGGAAAAGAAAGGAGAGGAGGACTGGAGGAGACTGGAAAGTAAAGAGAGGAAGCCAGAAACTTGCTTCTTTTCTGAGCTGTTATGTTCACATCTGCATCAAACTCTCATGGCCCTGGGCCCTTTGACACCTAAACTGACTCCAGAGTCCAAGAAATTATCTCTTCTCGCTGTTGTCTGTTCCCGTCAATGGCACAGAAATGGAAAGTACACAAAGTTCAAGGAGCTCAGACCATTGCTAACATATATCTGACCAGTGTAACCCATTTTTTGTTCTGAAGTTTTATAATGTAAAATTTTGAATCACTATTATAGAACTAAGTGTATATACTGAAGTATTCATCTGAGGCAATAATTCCCTATCATGGCTACATATTAGAATCATGGGCGATGTTTTCTCTTTTAACCTATTGGTCCCCTACCTTCCAGGATTCTGATTTAATTGGTACAGAGTGTGGTCTGGACATGAGTATTTTTGTGCTTAAGAAAAAAATAAATCCCAGGTGATTGCAATGGACACACAGGGCTGGGAACTACTGATGTAAGGAGAGAATCCGCAGGTATCCATAGAACGAATACTGGACAGAACTACTGTTGTGCTAGGAGGACTTGGATTTGACCCTCAAGCTGGCTCTTATCCTAAAGATTCAAGACCTCATCTGACTAGCTGCAATATTTCTCATTATTTTTCTCTTTGTTTCTTAGTGTGTGGTATGACAAAGACTTGAGGAAAGGCCTTCAAAAAAGGCCTTCTTGAATCTTTCTAATTAAAACCAGCATGTCCCTTCTGCTCTCTCTTGACTTGTCACAGTTGCAGTGCTGCAACCATTGGTGTCATTTCTCTCTCGCCCCAAGCTGCAAGCTCAGGGAGGACAGAGCTGGTTATAGTTCCCACCATTGTCTCTAACCAGTGCTTGTGCCTAGTGAGTATCCTTAAAGAAAGAGCTCTAGCATCATTCCACAGCTACTTTAAGGAAGCTCAGAGAGGAATGAATAACAGCTGCCTTCAGTGTGTTGGAAACAACTTTATGTCTGTCAATGTCTGTCCTTCAGCAAAGAGATGGGTAGGAGCTCTGCCCAGCACCAGGTGCCTGAGGGCAATGTTATACAGAACCTATACAAATCTTATCTTTTAATCATTTTGGAATGTTTTATAACCTCTTATATATTGAGGACAGTGGCTTATTCTACATCTGCCTCATTTGGAGTGTCAGACAATGACTTAACAGGGAGAAGAGGGGTTACACAGAGAGAGCCAACTCCCCCCGAAGGGCGGGGGATGTGCACACTGAAACTGTTTAGAATCATTGGCTCATGATAATAACATAAGGCAGACCAACTTTTAGCCAGTTTTATGATTGTTTTTTAAATTCACTCCAGACTATGCATTCTTTAATTGCTTGCCTAAAGTAGACCACCCTACTGGTGGCTCTTGGCATCCAGTGGAGCCGGGAGAACTGTATTAAAGTCTGATTTTGTTCTGGGGAGTGACAGGTTTTGAAAGAAGGAATCTCAGGACACTTCATCATGAACTAAGTCTCTCCATGTGCCTTACTCACAACAGCTTTATCCCAACGAATGTGCTAGATATTTACACCACTACTGGGAAAGCAAATAGAAGGCATTCTTTGTGCATTTTACAACAAATATGTAATGACCAATGTGAGTGTCAGGCCAAAGGTACTTTTGTCATCTGTTGTTCTAAGAAAATTTCACTTTTTGCCATGACAGGAAAAAAAAATCCATCACTGAAACTTCAAGGGAATTTCCCATCTTTGTTGACAATCATGCATGTTTGCTTGGTTTTGTTTTTGTTTTGAGACAGCATCTTGCTATATAACCCAGGTTTGTCTTTATCTTCTACCTCTTGAATGTTGGGGTTACAGGTGTGAGCCACTATACCAAGTTGCATGCATCAATTTTCATGCCATGTCTAGCTTTAATGTAAATATTAGGTTACATTAATAATTTAGGCTAATTGTCTATTTCAAAACCTCTGTCTCTAACTTTATAGTTATTTCTTTGCCTATGAATCAATACTTTTTTTTGGGGGGGGGTCCGGTCGTGGGGCCTGAACTCTGGGTCTGGGCGCTGTCCCTCAGCTCTTCAGCTCAACGCTAGCGCTCTAC